TAGAGAAGAGAAAAAATGAGGAGATAATATCATCCAATAGAAAAATGGAAGTAAAGACAGTTTACAGATGAAATAAATCACATAAAATCATTGGATAAATGTGACCCATTTTGCAGAACAGCCATGTATCAACTGACACCATAGAGGCACTATTCAACACAGTATTTTTACCAGCATTGTGTTAGCATGCCAGATGTGTCTGCAGTGAACCCCAAATTATAACTAGAAGAGGCAGGATAGGAAATAACAATATCAGGAAAGAAGCTGGGATAGAACCAGTACTAAACTGCATCGAGATACCAGATTGAATGGTTGGGACATGTGTCAAGACTACCACCAGATTGGTGCATCACAGAGAGTCCTGGCAATTAGGCTAGTGTTTCCCAAACTTTTCTTAGTTGCAGCACCTTTTTTCAATTAGAATTTGTAAACGGCCTCCTTAACCGAAGTAAAAGTATGACTACTCGTATGTAAGAGATCAATAAAAAAAACTTGTGTATCTTCGAATACTTTGCAGTGCCCCTGTGAAGAGATTGCAGCTTCCTGTGGCACCACAGCGCAGTTTGGGAATCACTGAATTAGACTAATGGAAACAGAGCTATACCACATAAGCAAAGGATAGATGGAACATTGGAGGCCGTGACTAGCATCTACACAACATATACCAAAGCTTGCACCTGATGCCTCTTCAAAATCTGACATTGAAAGGCAGAAAAGGACTAGAGAAGAAGAAGAAGAGGCGTAATTTTATATTTTTTTTAAACATATAGCAAATATAATGCCACATTTGCACAGGGTATGAACCTGCCTTCTTGTGAAAAACTCAGAGATGACAAAACATGTTGACATTTACAATATTTGTGAAAGCTGCATGTCTCATTTCCACATGTGATACTTTATACCTGTTGTTTGTTGACCTGTGATTATCAAGTGAACCAGTAATACTTGTGAAATTTATCTGTTCTTGATTTATAAATACAATTTCATGAACCAATAATACTTGTGAAATTTATCTGTTCTTGATTTATAAATACAATTTCATGAACCAGTAATACTTGTGAGATTCATCTGTTCTTGATTTATAAATACAATTTCATGAACCAGTAATACTTGTGAAATTCATCTGTTCTTGATTTATAAATACAATTTCATGAACCAGTAATACTTGTGAAATTTATCTGTTCTTGATTTATAAATACAATTTCATGAACCAGTAATACTTGTGAAATTTATCTGTTCTTGATTTATAAATACAATTTCATGAACCAGTAATACTTGTGAAATTTATGTATTTTTTTAAATTTATAAACAAAGTTTCACATGTATAAAAGTCATATGCACTGCAGCTTCAAAGGGGGAAAACCCCCAAATTGGCTGCCTTTTTTGACATGCTTGCTATTAGGAAGTGCCCCCCCCCCCCCCCCCCCAAAAAAAAAGTAGGGCCCCGTAACTTAAACAGGGAGGACAGATCAACAAATCTGAATTGCCTGTCCATGTTTATATAAGTAATTTTATCAAGTTCAGTCTGTAGCTATGATGTTGGTGAATGTGTTTCACAATACTTGATATAGTAGGGTACAGTGATGAGGTGCAATCAGTTTGCATGTGTAAGCATTAGCAGGTAACAAAAACACTGGAGAGGGTATCACGTGATATTTTCCTCCCAGTGGCTTTGCTGTTGAGAGTATGAGAGTGCAGCTAGCATCACAGTACTAGTAATTAGTAGCTTTTTCACATTACTAAAAGGACTAGAAACATACAGCAAGTGTTTTTTTTTTTTTTTTTAAGCTATGTTCGAGATGAAAACAAACCAAGCTACAAATTTATTATAAATAGCAAACAGTAATAATAATGTCTCTTTCTTTGGCAATGGAAAGGGTAGGCAGGGATTACATTCATTAAATGTATGCATCGCCACTGCTAAGGTTACATTTCCACAGCAGGTTGTTTAGAAAAAACAATTCTTGCAGCTTTGAGACATTGGTGCTAAAGTTGTACGAGGAAAGAGACTAGCACTCATTAGCTAAGATTCCCAAAGACAGCAAGTGGATGCATATACCCACTGCAACCAACCTCAATTGTGTAGCAGCTGGACACTCCCTGTGGATCAGAAGCTCACTGGTTCAAATCCGAACAATGCCAGACTTTTTTCAGAAATGAGCTTGGCTCACAAGTAAAGGTGCCAGGTAGGATGTTGACCACATCACCTACCAAGTGCCGACTGGTCTATAAAATAAAGGTTATGTTATGTTATCACAATCAACATCTTTGCACATTAGGCATCCCTATACGTACTCAGTCCTCTGATGCAGCAGCCACTTCAAGGTACCTCTACTTATTGTTCCCATTAGAAGTTGGTTATAGTATCTCCTGTCTTTACCTCTAAGACGGCATAGTTGTGTTTCACCAAGCTCAACTTCTTGGTCACGAAGTCGTGTTAATGTCAGAGATTCGCCATTATCTCCCAACCTAATCTGTACGGCGTTGATGATATCAGCTCTGTCCATGCTTTTTCCCATTTGCATTGGTGCATTACTTGCCAGCTGGTCAGCTCTTTCATTACCATTTAGTCCTGCGTACCCAGGTGTGTAGATCCAGATGATGGAGGTTAACAACTTCCAAATGCTTTCTAACCATTCGGAGCGGAAACTATCTGTAGCGATTTTCTGAAGCATGTTCATCACAGTACTCAAATAAAGGTTCAGCCTTAAGGCAGAGAAAAGAATCCTTTACTTTATTTTTACAACATCCACTATGGAGCTCCAAGTTTTCAGTTTCAAGACCAAACTAGGAATCTTCAGTTGTAAAGTTAATTCACTTGTAACACATACTAGCTAAAGTTGGACAACTACCATAGAAATGGACCGAAAGTGGCATGTATTTGAAAATAAATGTCTGAGAGAAATCATGAAACATATAATGGGATAGAATTTTGAAAAAGTGAGGCAATGAGAGAATGTCTGGACAAATACCCATATCGACTGCAATAAGACAAAGAAGGTGGAGATATATTAAGCATGCTCTGAGACAAATGAGCAAAGAATTAAACATGTACTAAAATGGGAAACAAACAGTCTGAGAAAAAAGAGGATGGTCAAGGGAAACATTAAGAAGAACATTATTCCAAGAAGCTAATAAAGCTGGGCTGAACTTCTCGTCAGAAATCCAGAGAGTTGCATGCAAGAGCGGAGTGGAAGAATCGAATGTGAGCCCTATGTGGTGTCTAACAGCACATAAAGGATGATGATGATGATGACTGTGGAGACAGCATTTAAGAAAAACTGAATGACTGCTTATCTGCTGTGTTCTGGTTCTGATACAAAACTGAATCATGTTTCCTCAATCAAGATAGAAATAACTTTCTCAAAGACTTACTCAGTTTCTTCTTCTTATAGTCCATGCTGTGCGGCCTCGGTGTTCATTTCTATCCATAACATTCTGTCTCATGTATTTGTAATCAGTTCTCATACAGATATGATCTTCCATGCCATGATGCTGAACTAACCAACATCTCTCTCTGACTCTTTTTTTCTTCTAACTTTTCCACCATCACAGTCTACTGCAGTTTTCTCTTTCTCTTTTTTTTTAAATGACATGACCAAACAATGTAGATTGTCTCCTTCTGACGCCACGGCTTACATAACAATAAACCTAAGTATAGAAATAATCACATAACATTGAGATATACACAAAGTCAGCCTCTAGACCATATATGTTTACCATAAAATATTATCTCTGGCAAGCCTATCTTGCAGGTTGGGTGGCCAGCCTAGCGGATCTGATATTTCTTCAGTAGTGTATGAAAGCTTGGTAGGTTTGCTTTACAGCATTCTCTCTCTCTCTCTCTTTCTCTCCCCCTTCCTCTCTCCCTCCCTCTTCATCCCTCCCTCCCTCTCTTTCTTGCTCTTACACACATGCGCGTGCGCCCACCACTCATTGCATTATATTCAAGAAAACGTGACCGCGCATGCGCAGTTTATATATCAAATCTACGTTCATATGTAGAGGTCAAAATGGTATATGACAAAAAATGTGAATGTACAGTGGTTGCTTCATGGACTGTGTTGTGTGGAGGGGGCACATCAGAAAGAGATTAGAAATGAAAGAAGAAATGATTGCAGAAAGGATGAGGGCTGAGAGTTTGAGAAAAGACAGACTAAACGCAAATGTTGATAACAATGATTCTGAAAAACCATGCTGTAATTTTGGCAGGGCTTTCCTAACACGGGTAGGTCTCCCTAGCCACACATTGCGATTGCCAATATAACACTATTGTTTGGAAATACAGAAAGGTGCCAATCACAATCAGAGCAGTTGCTTGGCAGGTTTGTTTTACTGAAAACTACAGACCCTGAAACAGTAAATACCACCTCTATGCATGCTTTCATTTGTTGTCTGCACAGCTCAAGAACTTTCCATACTCAAATTGGACTCATTAGTTACCTACATTCCCTTACAATCATTGATCACTACTACTCTTCAATGCTAAGCTGTTCTCATCACTTTTCTTCACGTTTACCGGCTGTAAACTCTGGTGGAAAATTCTGGTTGTTTGTCCACCTCTGGACGTTTGTCTTGTTCCCCACCCTGAGTGTTGTATGCACATCATTTAACACATCTGACTTGACTATGTGCAGATTGTTGGTTGCCCGCTTCTCATGTGGATACCCTCCAACTTTGAAGAAAGCCCGTGATTACACAGCTCTTACGCCATGCTTGTTGGGGAGACATTGGGTCTATTCTTGTTTCCCCCACAATGGGGTTCCGGAACCCACATAGAGACTCATTACTTGTGATGCAGAAACAAGACATAAAAAACACATATCATGCACAGTATCTTACATACAAATGGAATGTAAACTTGCATATTATTTATTGTATAAAAAAAGTTGTTAAAAAACATGAAGATTTAAGAAGTCTTTCAACAATTGTCATCTGGTTTTTCAAAACAGTAAAGAAACCGGCATGTAAATGCTTTTCAATATTAGATATATCAAAATCTAAAACAGATACACCAAATATATAATGATCTTGTACAGCAAGCCAAGTATAATGAGCACCAATGCATAACCAGTGATGTTCCACAGGGGTGGAATTGGAACTTTCCTCACCTGTAAGGTCAAAAGAGAAACATTAAGAGAATAAAAATGGTTTTGGGTAACTAATGACTAAATTGAAAAAGAAGGAGGAAAAAAGACAGAATAGATAAAAGGATTATGAAAATGATATTAAGAAACTGTGTCTGTCTGTCTGTCTGTCTGTCTGTCTGTCTGTCTGTCTCTGTGTGTGTGTGTGTGTGTGTGTGTGTGTGTGTGTGTGTGTGTGTGTGTGTGTGGGTGGGTGTGTGTGTGCATGCATGCATGCATGTGCACATACAGGGTTTTTTTTTTTTTTTTTAGTAAATAGGTCTCTTCAACAAGCTCCTATGGGTGTTTGGCATATGGGAGTAACGTAAAGTAGTAGTAATGGACCTGCCATGCTCCATACCACGATAAAAATCTACATAGCCAGCAGTGGGTTTCGATAACGGCTGCTTTCACTTCACAGGTCATTTCCCAGTTCTAAATTTGGGCTGGATCGACCTGAAAGCCAACAGTGTTATATTTTTTAACAGATCTGAACCCAAGGTCATTGGGTCAACAGGCAAGTGACAAGCAACTGTACCACTATTGCTTCACTGTTATACAGCCCACCTTTACTTTCTCAGAGAAATTGTGGGAACTCATTTTACGAGTTTTCTTCAAAGTCAGGGTGATCTACCTAAGCAATGAGGAATCATCAGTGTTGAAGAAAAAAGCCAGATATGTGAAACGGATGTGCACGCAAAATTAGTTCTTTAGAACAAGACTATGTCCAAAAGTAGATAAGCAACCAGAACTTTCTGCCAGAATTTACAGCTAAACACTAAGAAAAAGATTTTATGAGGTCTTCCCTGTTATGGCCCCAGTGCAAATTAGTTCAGTGATTTGCATGTTCGGTGACCTTAACACTTTTATGGACAAAAGCTTCACTTGTGGGAGCTCTCATGTCAGGCAGAACAAAGTGGATAAACTATCAACTGGTTACTTGTTGTTGGTTTGTATTGTTGTTGTTGTTGTCCATTGTCACATCCTAGATTGTATGAGCTGCTTGTGCTTTATGCAACTCATTCTGTGCCAAATGGTACTTTAGCTTCTTATCCAAGCCATTTTACTCTAAGCAACTTTTGCTTTAGAAAAGATGATTTTAAGAAATGCATGTGTAGGACTTGAAGAGTTAATATGCTTTTCTAGCAGTAAGTTCATTGTCTCTGACTCTTTTGTCTCATCTTCTCAGGAACACAGTGCATTCAGTATGTTTTCCATGTCCATATTCTTTTGTGTTAACGGTTTGTCCTGAACGGGCCTGGCGACCAATAACGGCATACTTTTTTTCTTGTCACTTAATTTGCAGTTTGCCGTAAGAGTATCCCCATGCCGCGCTCCTGTTCATACTTTTTAGATGGCTGGGACTCACAAGCAAAGCTGCAGGAGATGCGGAAGCTGCTGCTCGTGAGTCCCAGCCATCTAGTTTCAACAGTTTGTCTGTCCTGTTCATACTTTTTTTTCTTGTGTTAACAGTTTGTTCATACTTTTTTCTTATACTTTCATACTTTGTTTTCCCTAACAACAGTTTGTTTGTCCTGTTCATACTTTTTTTTCTTGTTAAAGTTTGCCTGTCTTTCATTGTGTTAACAGTTGTCTGTAATGGTGCAGTTTTTAATGTTAACAGCTGTTTGTTCACTTTTTCTTATGGTAACAGTTTGTCTGTTCATAATTTTTTCTGGTGTTAACGGTTTGTCTGTCCTGCTTATACTTTTTTGTGTCAACAGTTTGGTATCTCTATTACCTGCCATTCTCTCAATATGTCCCCAACTACTGCAGTCTGTGTATGATGCTAAACCCAGAAAGTAAAGTCCTACCTGCTGTGCTGCTTGAGACCACTTGTGTGGACCATTCAGCCTCCACTGGGAGACACCACATGAACTGAACATCAGTCTGACAGAAGGGAAACACATTTTGTACAGGGTGAGTTAGAAATATGTCTACATGTGTAGCTGCACAATTAACTAACTATGCACAACAAGGACTTCCTTTTTCCAAACTGCTTGCCATTCACATTACAGTGGTATCTCGACTAACAAAATTCCTTCCTGACTGTGGTTCGTCTTTTGAAAAGTTTATACTTTCAAATCGAATTTCCTATTATATCTTATGAGAAATTAATTAATCCGTTCTCAGATTTAAAAAAAAAAATAATAATAAAGAGTTTGTATCTGTTAATTTTCTGCTGTTTAAAGACTCCAGGATTTTCAAAGTGATAAACCAAGAGATCATCACCGGCACTGGCACAAAAGAGCACAAGTTAGTTGGTCTGTGATTGACTTGTGTCCTGGCAATTTCCTCCTTACTGATAAATGTTCTCTTAGCTATTTCTTTCTAGAAAAGCCCCGCTTCACTGCAGTTAAAAACTTGTTCTGGTCTTTAACCATCCAATTTCATCAGTTTCTGAAATTCCTTCAAGAACTTTTCTGCAGCTTTTTTGTAAATCAGCACTAGCACTTTCTACGTGCCTAACAACACTGGATACCAGTTTCATTCTTGAATTTCTCAAACCATCCTTTGTAAGCTTTAAACTCTTCACTGATGTCTTTGCTGCTAGTAGTGGATGGCAAGTTCTGCGACAGATCTGTGTAAATAGAGCGCTCAAAAAGATCATATTGTCAGATACACTATCTGATTTCAGTTGAATGTCATTAATCCAGATGCGTAGTAAAGTTTCCAATTTTTCCATAACTTTATTTCATCGAGATGACACGACATACTTATTTGGCCACATACAGCTTCTTATAAAAAATCTGCTTCCTTGAGAATTGCAGCTATGATAGATTTGGACAAGTTATTTTATACTGCTTGCACAAATCAGTTTGCCTGACTCCTTTCTCACATTTTTCCACAATCTTTTTCTTTATTTTTTTGTGATTTTCTTCTTTCTTAGTTTTCTTTGACCACATGTTAGAAATGATACCTGATATCTAAACAATAATTTGAACTGTCTGTCCGTAATGCTCCTGCAGGCATATAAACCAATTGTATTGTTTCATTACATAAATACTGAAAAAAGATAACACACATAAATGCAAATATATAGGTGCAGCATGTATCACACACACCACTCATTGCGTTGTATTCCAGATAAGTCAAACAAACATGCCTGCATGTGCAATGCATCACAGTTTGCATCTCGAATCTAAGCTAGCATGTAGAAGTCAAAATAGGATATGAAAAAAAAAAGTGTATATCTTGAAAGGTTAGAGTTTCAACGTCCAGGTACCACTTTATAGCATAACCGTTTGGAAAAGTCGCTCACTGTATTCTGATATATGCACCCTAGAACAGCATGACCTGCTTTCCTCAGTTATTGTTTCCAACATGTTGACAGCTTGCAGCCCACATACCTCAAGATGTCTTCTCTTTCAAATAACCCTTATAAAAAAAATCCTTATAGATATCTGCTTTCTTGAGAACTGTAGCTATGGTGGACTTGGACAAGTTTTCAAGTTTTACTGCTTGCACAAATCACTTTGACGGACTCCTTTCTCAAACTTGTCCCCAATCTCTTACTTTCATTGCATACTGCATTTATTTCAAACCTGTAGCTACATATGCACTCACCCTTTATACTGCCCGCTGCGATTCTTAGCTCTGTTAGTACCAGAGAATAATTAAACATTGAACTAGTTAGTTATAAACCAATGTATGATGGGTCCCTTGCTAGCCAAAGAATTAGAGAACTGGAAAAAATATAAGAAAGCTGCAAGCAACTAAACCATCAAAGAGATAAGTAAGTAATAATCCCAGGAGAAAAGTAGTTCTTGTGCACTGCTTGTGTTATACCATTAGGAGGTACAGTTTGCAATTTTAAATTTTAATGCGTAAATTAAATGCATGTAGTGTAAATTTTTTAAAATAATTTTTTGAGAAAGCCTAAAAAAAACATTGTTACAACTGGCAAACTTTGTGGAAAAAGCAAAAAAGTGAGACAGATATAAAATATTTGCATGGCTTGGCCAAACAGCATAAACGGAAGATAAATATGACCAGTCTTTAGGACAGAACTAAACAAGTTCCAGTGGACCAAGAAGTGAAGAAAAAACGCTGGCGTTGGATAGGACACATGATGAGAAAACCTGAGAATAATATAACTAGAATGTTTATACACTGGAACCCACAAGGACATTAGAAATAAAGAAAGACCAAAAACACATGGAGAAGAGAGCTAGAGAGGGAAGTTTAAAAAGATGGGGATGACATGGGGAGAGCTGCCAAGGATAGAATGACATGGCCTGAGTTGGCTGAGGGCCTATGCTCCATTGGGGGTTAGAAAGACAGAAGAAGAAGAGTCTCTGGTGGCTGTGGAAGATGGCAAACCATGTTATCAGTCAGACACATGATGATGATGATGATGCAGCATTACCTCCATGCTAAAGATGGATTCTTCAGCAAATCTGGCTTGGCCCCAATAACACTAGCAATCTCATCTGTGTAGATAATGGGATCTTGCTGAATGGTGTGCCTTGCTGACTTGTACCAGCGGCGCTGAGACAGTTCCTGATCAACAAAGAGATTTTTAAAGTATTATTTTCAATTTTTTTTTAATGTGTTGAGGAAGATCACTGATCAATAAAAGCAAACATTCTGAAATTCCATTAGCTGTGAACTTTGAATAAAACAGGCTCACAAAAAGCTTCATGACTTGGTGACTGAAATACTTTAATCATATTTAACGCAAGGCTTTCAAAGAGTAGTTTTCATCTTAGTGTTCATCTGCTCTAAACTTCAATGAATGAAGTTCAACCCCAACAGGACATCACACCAAGCGATAAACACCTGGTGACACAAAGTGCCACCATTCGGATGAGAATCACCCAGGCACAAGCCCCATAAGCCCCGTTTAACCGTTAAGTGATATTAGGGCCCCTAACAACAGCCGGTGTAGGGTTTTTAAAATAACTAAAAACTGCGTCCCATATTGGGACGGCTTCATAATATTAACTCCTAAACTCCAATGGAAAGTTCTGGTTGTTTCTCCACTTCTAGACTTTGATCTTGCTCCAGAACTTGAATTGTGTGTGCACATCTGTTTTACAGATCAGGCTTATTTTTATGCAGACTTCCTTGCCTCTCAGGCACATGCACTACGACTTCAAAGGAAAAGCTTTAATTAGTTGACCTTTCCCAAAATGCTTGTTAGGTCGGCAGTGGATCTGCTCCTAGCCCCCAGAAGGAGGCCCCGGGAATCCACATGTGGAAGGCAAAGAGTAGTGAATGTAGACACTGTTCAGCACAAAGGTGGACAAAGATTCACTGGAGACACCTTGGTGACAATACACAAGGCTCTGTCAGAGACTTGCCAGTGCACCACAAACACAGAGAAAGACTTGCTAGTGCACCACAGAGAGAGACACTTCGCAGAAACCTGCTTCATGATGATTATTATTATATGATAAATTTCTATCCTAGAATTTGTTCATGAAACAACAGATACTGGTACCTTATTTCCCCACCACCCATTTAGTTGCCTTCAGAATTTGAACTTAAATACTAGTGGGGGGGTGGGGGGGAAGGGGGGGGGGAGTGATATGTGATTTCAGTGCCTTTATAAAGCAAATTAAAGTGCATTCTGCAACTTTGGGTATATTTTAAAAACAAGTCCAGTTGAGTATGGTAGGAACATATAAAATGGGAGAAACAGTGGACCAGAGGCATGATGTCCATCCCTGTCTCAAAAGAAGCCATATTCAAATGAATGATGATGTGTACCAAAAAAACTTGGGGATGCTTCACTACCTTATCCTAGTATATCTGTTGCTAAGTCTTCTTGGGCAAAGGTCATCAAATGGAGTGGTCAGTGTGCATGACACACAGAGGACAATCCCTAAACACAGAAAACAAAAAGATTAAGCATTTTAGGCTGCTTTCCCAGATACTGTTGTCATGTCATTAGATGTTAACAATTGTCTTAGTCTTAGTCGAGGTTTCAACTTCACTGCAATCGGGTTCCCCATATCTGCTCCATTTCTGTGCCAGTGAAAATCAGATGAAATGTCCCTCACTGTCGCATTTGATAAACTGGTGAACAGCAATTAGTCTCGGGACAATCCAGAAATATGCGCATGCAGTAAATGCAAATTTCAGTTGCTAGAGGTACCAAAGCAAACAGTCGCTATCAGAAATGCAGTATGTTATTGATGGAAGTAGTCGGGCACGATAATTTGACTACTATACGCACGCAGAATTATTACTACATAAGGTATTTATTTCATCAACCCACGTGTAACCGGCTACCTGCCATACTGAATACAATGACATAACCGCTGCACAAATGAAAGGCATTCCAAATGACAAATACAGCTCACAGGGCTGCACAAAGTGCTAAACTCTGTAGCTCAGGCAACATAAACAAATGTTTCATAAAGAGCTACCTAGAACAGAAACATTTTACAACAAATAAACCTTTTACACTAATACCACCTTATAACTGACTCTAGTCAGAAAGTTGAACATTACAAATCATAGAAAAAAATTACACTCACCCGTTTGTCTTTTATATCAGCATTCATGTCCGGCTTGGACGGTAATCTAATTTTCCCTTTACAAAGTTCTGAAAACCACCTGGCTTGTATCTCAGACATGGTCAACAAACCACCAGATGCAGGCTGGACAAAACCAATGAAAGCCAAACTGGCACCAATCTCAGGCAAAAACACATTCCTGTAGAGCTGCAATTAGTCAAGTAAAGCAAGTCTGTTTATATACAATGAAGGTACATCATTTTGTACAATACAATTAAAAAAAAAAAATCCGTTTATACAACTAAAATATCAGTTTTTTTACAATTAAATATCAAGTTATCCAACTAAAATTTCAGTTTATACAACTAAAGTATCAGTTTAAACAACTAAAGTATCAGGTTATCCAACTACAATTTCAGTTTATACAACTAAAGTATCAGTTTATACAACTAAAGTATCAGTTTATACAACTAAAGTATCAGTTTATACAACTAAAGAATCAGTTTATACAACTAAAGTATCAGTTTATACAACTAAAGTATCAGTTTATACAACTAAAGTATCAGTTTATACAACTAAAGAATCAGTATATATATAACAAAAGTATCAGTTTATACAACTAAAGTATCAGTTTATACAACTAAAGTATCAGTTTAAACAACTAAAGTATCAGTTTATACAACTAAAGTATCAGTTTATACAACTAAAGTATCAGTTTATACAACTAAAGTATCAGTTTATACAACTAAAGAATCAGTTTATACAACTAAAGTATCAGTTTATACAACTAAAGTATCAGTTTATACAACTAAAGTATCAGTTTATACAACTAAAGAATCAGTTTATACAACTAAAGTATCAGTTTATACAACTAAAGTATCAGTTTATACAACTAAAGTATCAGTTTATACAACTAAAGAATCAGTATATATATAACAAAAGTATCAGTTTATACAACTAAAGTATCAGTTTATACAACTAAAGTATCAGTTTAAACAACTAAAGTATCAGTTTATACAACTAAAGTATCAGTTTATACAACTAAAGTATCAGTTTATACAACTAAAGTATCAGTTTATACAACTAAAGAATCAGTTTATACAACTAAAGTATCAGTTTATACAACTAAAGTATCAGTTTATACAACTACAATATCAGTTTATACAACTAAAGTATCAGTTTATACAACTAAAGTATCAGTTTATACAACTAAAGAATCAGTTTATACAACTAAAGTATCAGTTTATACAACTAAAGTATCAGTTTATACAACTAAAGTATCAGTTTATACAACTAAAGAATCAGTATATATATAACAAAAGTATCAGTTTATACAACTAAAGTATCAGTTTTTACAACTAAAGTATCAGTTTAAACAACTAAAGTATCAGTTTATACAACTAAAGTATCAGGTTATCCAACTAAAGTATCAGTTTATACAACTAAAGTATCAGTTTATACAACTAAAGTATCAGTTTATACAACTAAAGAATCAGTTTATACAACTAAAGTATCAGTTTATACAACTAAAGTATCAGTTTATACAACTACAATATCAGTTTATACAACTAAAGTATCAGTTTATACAACTAAAGTATCAGTTTATACAACTAAAGAATCAGTTTATACAACTAAAGTATCAGTTTATACAACTAAAGTATCAGTTTATACAACTAAAGTATCAGTTTATACAACTAAAGAATCAGTATATATATAACAAAAGTATCAGTTTATACAACCAAAGTATCAGTTTATACAACTAAAGTATCAGTTTAAACAACTAAAGTATCAGTTTATACAACTAAAGTATCAGTTTATACAACTAAAGTATCAGTTTATACAACTAAAGTATCAGTTTATACAACTAAAGAATCAGTTTATACAACTAAAGTATCAGTTTATACAACTAAAGTATCAGTTTATACAACTAAAGTATCAGTTTATACAACTAAAGTATCAGTTTATACAACTAAAGAATCAGTATATATATAACAAAAGTATCAGTTTATACAAGAAAAGTATCAGTTTATACAACTAAAGTATCAGTTTATACAACTAAAGTATCAGCTTATACAACTAAAGTATCAGTTTATACAACTAAAGTATCAGGTTATCTAACTACAATATCAGTCTATACAACTAAAATATTTTATACAGCTAAAATATCAGTGTATTATACTCAGGTCAAAAGGAACATTGTAGGAAAAGAGAGGCAGGCAGAGGCTACGAGGTAAAATGCTGGACTGTTTGGCATCATGGAGGAACATGTGACATAAATACAGACATTGTACTGTAAATGCCTTGTAAGACTGTCCTCAATACAATCAATGTACTGATGAGAATATCCTGCAGGACTGCCTTCAGTATCTACAGTGTACTGGGAATGTTTGCAGGACTGCCTTCAGTACCTACAGTGTACTGGGAATGTTTGCAGGACTGCCTTCAGTACCTACAGTGTACTGAGAATGTTTGCAGGACTGCCTTCAGTACCTTCAATGTACTGAGAATGTTTGCAGGACTGCCTTTAGTACCTACAGTGTACTGAGAATGTCCTGCAGGACTGCCTTCAGTACCTATAGTGTATTGGGAATGTTTGCAGGACTGCCTTCAATACCTACAGTGTACTGGAAATGTTTGCAGGACTGCCTTCAGTACCGACAGTGTACTGAGAATGTTTGTAGGACTGCCTTCAGTACCGACAGTGTACTGAAAATGTTTGCAGGACTGCCTTCAGTACCTACAGTGCACTAAGAATGTTTGCAGGACTGCCTTCAGTACCTACAGTGTACTGGGAATGTTTGCAGGACTGCCTTCAGTACCTTTAGTGTACTGAGAATGTTTGCAGGACTACCTTCAGTACCTTTAATGTACTGAGAATGTTTGCAGGACTACCTTCAGTACCTTTAATGTACTGAGAATGTTTGCAGGACTACCTTCAGTGTACTGAGAATGTTTGCAGGATTGCCTTTAGTACTGAGAAGTGACTCAACAATAGACCCAAAGCCGTATGGAACTAAAGAGCAGCTGCAGAAAATATTTGATAGAGTTGTTACTGAGACCCTGTCTAATGGTAAGGACAGTACAAGAACAAGAACAACTTCTTCTTTAGTAAACCCTCAACATGGTGGTTGGCACCTGGTACTGTAGTATCTGCACCTTTCAGCCTAACACATCCAATTTCAGCAAACTCCTGTTTGTAAATACTTCTAGCCCAAGAAAAAAGCAAGGACAAAACTGATAAAATCAACACTGTCCAGACAAGGTTGGTGGATAACAAACGTTTAAAGTGAGCTCATTTAAGGGACCATGGAGTCTTTTTTTATCTTCTTTGCATTCACCGTCTGTAAGTAAACTCTGGTAGAAAGTTGTCCCTCCACTTCTGAACTTTAGTCTGATTCCAGACCTTGATTTCTGAGTGCACATCTGTTTTACAGATCTGGCTTTGTGTGTGTGTGTGTGTGTGTGCAGACTGTTGGTTCCTCACCACTCATACAGATGAATTCCGACTTCAAAGAAAATGCCCCTAATTAGGAGACATTTACAACATGCTTGTCAGGGGGCAGTGGGTCTATACCCCTCCCCCCTTTCCATTGTTCATATTTTAGATCATCTTCATCGCACATCAGACATGATCATAAGTGCTGCAATCTCCTCCTGAGTATGTCTCCAAGTGTTTTTAGGCTAACAACTCCCAATGAGGCCCCAGAACCAACACAGGGAATATATGATTAAAGTCTCCAGTTTGGCCCCCACATGTATATGCTAGCCTCAAGATCAAGATAGCAGACATTATAGGTACCTTGGGATGTTGATGTATTGCAGGATAAGAGAATGTGCAATGAGCAGTAACGCCAACAGTGATAACAAAACCTGCTAATCCTCCAGCACCAAATGAATATAAGGCTCACAACAATCACCTGCATTTCATTTGATTCTCCAACAGTGACTTGTTCCTTGACAGACTTTGGCAAAAATGGCAGGTCTATCTTGTATCCAGTACAATAGATGATTCTATCAACATCTGCGGTGGAACCATCAACAAAATGTACTGTGCTGTCCTTGATTTCCTGAAGATGATACAAGTATACCTTTTTAATCAAAATGCACTGTGCTGCCATTGATACAAGTATACCTCATAATCAAAATATATGGTGCTGCCCTTGATTTCCTGCAGATGATACAAGCATATCTCATAATCAAAATATATGGTGCTGCCCTTGATTTCCTGCAGATGATACATGTATACCTCATAATCAAAATGTCTCCTTGTAATGAATTCCACACCTAAGAGAGCATTAAAATGACCTTTATTAATGTGTCAAAGTAATTACTTCATAGTTTCACATAGAATATCATCCTGTAGCAGATTCTTTGCGAAACGTCACTCTCATCATGGTCTGCCTGAGAGAAACTGGGTCACTCGCCAGTTGTCCCGCCTCGTGTAACTCACATAACGTTATTAATTTAGCAAACATTTTAGGTTAATTACTTACAAAAGTTCCGAAATTGCTTCCAAGATGGATGTGAATGGCATACAACAGCAGACTTGTGGGAAAACAACATTTAAATGTTTGAAATGAGATCATCTTAGTGCCTTGTGTTAGAGCGTGTACAGTTCGGAGGAGCAGATGGATCACCACAGTCTGGTGACATTGATGCAGCGAGGAGTGATGAAGGGTTCTGGCAGATGCTCAAGGCTCAGAGAAAAGGCAAGATGGACGTTTAATCAGATGCTCCTGGCACCATTAGTATTGGATCTGTACTAAATATGGGGACAGAGCGCTTATGGGAATGCCCCGAATGCTGTGATGTCGGATCTTGATTCAACTCAACTCAGATTCGCATATTGCCGCTCTCATCACAGCCTGTTTCGCCATGTGTACTTTCATATTCAAGGAGTCATGTATATCCTGTGCCTACCTTTGCATAGGTCGGCCCCTGCCCATTTGTCCTGGTACCATGCTTTCTGCTATTATATTTTTTCCAATCCGTCATGGCGCTTAAAATGGCCAAAACATTTCAGCTTTCGAGACAAGATGTTGTTTATTAGCCAGTCTTCCTTGATGTTCAGATATTTTAAAATATCTAAACATCAAAGAAGATTGGCTAATAAACATCATCTTGTCTCGGAAGCTGAAATATTTTGTATTAATAGGTTTTAAGAAGGTGAAATGAGGGTCACTGTGTTCATTATGATAGCAAAATGTTAACTCAATTCTTCAACTTAAAAAAAAAGGACTTTCTCAACATCTGATCAATAAATTTACTTTTTTCAAATAAAACACTTTGGGGGGGGGGGGAGGGGGGTAATAATAGGATTAGATTTACATATCTACCTGAGGTAAATACAAACATGTGAATTTAGATTACCACAGTAGGAATTAGTGACAATTACTCTTAACACAGTCTGGTAAAACTATGAGTATGAGGAAATATTATTGTCTGTCTTCTAACCATCGTCGGCTCTGTGGCTAAGTCGATGTGAACACTTTGTAATGCCGGGATGCCGGGTTCGATCTTAGCTGCGGGCCATGCACCTAGCATTGGTTTCGACAGTGGTATCAAGAAAGCTAACCGTCCAGAAAGCAATGGCAAACTACTCGATGTAAATTTGCCTAGAAAAAAACACATAACAGCTAGGGGCTGTTGGGGTTGGTTCTGCAACGTCCTGTAAAGGATACGCAACTAATTTTCTAACCATCTCTTTCTATCCTTTATGTGCTGATGTGGCAAAATTGTAAGAACTACAATGTAACACAAATCCCTTCCAGACTAGACTAGAGAGAGTGTATATACGTGTTAGGGAGACAAAATATTTCTTTATGAATATGCTTGCCATGTGTGGGACACATGAGCTACAGATAGGTGTTTTGTTTTATTTCCGGTTCTCAAAGGGGCCACTGATCAACCAGTATAATTTCTTGGCTAAGAATCCTAGTGAATGAGCCAGCAGTCACTGTGCACACATGAGACTTGCAAAAGAGTTAGGCAGAGTCTCAAATTGAGATCTGACTCCAAGTTCATTTTCTACAAGTTCGTTCATAGGAACTGATTCCATCAGAATGCTATCATTCTCATATGCATATCTAACTTACTGACTAACTTACTGTCATCATACTGTCTGATGATTGACTGATGTAACATCTTAAATCAAAATCATCCACTTATTTTGTTTAGACTGAATTAATAAACTTTATTTCTAGTTATTATAAAATCTTAGTCAGGTAAATTGTGTACTTAGGTCCAAGTGTCTGTGTTCATACTAGTTTACCTCAGGTAAATTTAAATCACCTTAAATTATTATAAGGTGAGGAGAAAGTAGGAGAGATTAACTGTGTATATTGATACTCTCTCACTGAATTCATCTTGAATGTTGACTTAAGAATCGGCATCACAGCACTCAGGACACTCCCATAAACACTCTGACCCCATCTTCAGCAGCAAGCAAAGAGTTCTAGTTCTGATGGTACCAGTACAAATTACTAAATTTCAATGGATTTTTTACTTAATTTTGAAGTTACTTTGATGTCTAATTATCCCTTTTCCTACTCTTGTGGATAGAAGTACAGCTATTATAATGATTTTATTTGATGAGCCACTTTTTTGCTGTTTATCCAGAACTTCGTCTGGGATCAACATAGCTCAGACATTAGTCAAATTTCTCACGGGGGTGTGCAGTGTTGGGATTCAAACCCACACATTTACTACACAAGTGTATATCCACATGGAGTTGGCGACAGTGTTAAATACCCCTTCGATGTTTAGCAGTTAATTTCTCTCCAAATTCCATCTGCCTTTTATTTTTGGTTTAGCAGTTAATTTTACACTTTTCAATGCCAGCACTTCTTTCTCTAGCAGTTAATTTCTCCCAATTCTGTGTGCCTTTCACTTCTGGTTTAGCAATTATTTCTCCCAATTTTGTCTGCCTTTTCCATATTTGGTGTCATTTACTTTACAATTTAAAAATCAACCTGAAAATGTGAACTTGTAATTATTAACACACAAAAAAAACAAGTAAAGAGCCCATGTCTGAACTTTGTGATAAACTGGGCATATGGTGCCTGCCCTAAAACATTGTGGGGCAATCTGGGGTAATGTGCTCAGTATCTATTTTAGGTCAGGTTAGGAAATGAAGGTCAATATGAACAAAGAAGAAACAATCGATTGCACAATTTATTGTCTGGCATATTCAACTGTATCTCATTAGGTGCATACTAAAGCAAAAATTACATAAATGAAGCAAATAGCGAATAAGTGAATTCAGTGCTATGCAATAAATTGTTCAATCTATTGTTTGTGTCTTCTTTGTTCACACTTACAACAGAGAAACACTCCTTTGAAGTTTGAAGATAAAATTTTTTTAAATTAGCCTCTATGAAGATTTAAACCTATGACCACCAGGTCGGCATTCTAATGTTGATGTGATTAAATACCATCTCACTTTGATGTCGGGTTTAATCTTGATGTTTCCTCTCTGGATGTGATGAATGAGTGTTGGGCTGACTGTTGGCTGCGTCTCCAGGGCCTTCATTTTGGGATTCAATCCCCACCTAGAAACAGAACATAGCTTACAGAAATTATTATACAGTAAAACCTTCTTAACAAAAATTCCAAAGGAATGAAAAATCACGGTGGTATTTAAAAATGTTTGTCTTAAGAGAATTCATGTTAACAATGTTTTATTGTATTACTGAGCATATGAATATCACCCGTTAACATGCTTAGGAATATCAACATTTATGTGTACATTTTAATCTGTACCTACGGTGTTGATAGAATGCAGTAAAATACAAGAGATCTGTCTCTATAAGATGTCTGAATACATTCTTTTTCTTCTTCTTATGGTTCACCAGATGTAAACTCTGGCAGAAAGTTCTGGTTGTCCATCCCTTTCTCGACTATTGGTATCTCACTTCTCAGGCAGATGCACTTGCAACTTCTAAGGAAGCAGCCCGAATGAGTCATCTGTTACAACAAGCTTGTCAAGGGGGCAATGAGTCGAGTCCGAGACCTAATCATTTAGAAACCAATAGCAACTGCTGAATATAAAATTTGCCTAGAAAAACCACAGCAGCCAAGAAAGGCTGGGGTTGGTTCTACAACGTCCTGTAAAAAATACATAACTAACTTTAAACTTTAAATAGACTAACTGGTGTAATATGGATTTCTGGCATCAACTGGCAAAATAAGGATTATATTATACTGGTGGAAAAATAATTTTTAACTTGTTTAGTCCCAAGACCTTTAGCATGAGATGCCCAAGGGGTAGTAAAGAGAGACGTAAAATCAAAGCATTTTTCATTCATTGGGCTTCTAAGTAGGAACCTGTGAATGCATGATGGGACTGAAAGAGTTAAAGACCAAATTGACAATTGATAGGCGATGTGATCAGCATCATCTCAGCTGCCTCTACCTTCTAGAACGTAGCTATTCAACTGGAGGCCCGCCAGTGGTCAGGGACACATTGCCAACTGTATTGTATTAATGATCTTTCTATCCTGGAGCTCAAGTCTCTGGCCTGTGACAATCCATTTTCAAAATTTTAGCCCCTGAATAAACTTCGTTGAACAGTCCTGTTCGAGAACATTTCCTTGTGGTCAATTTCAGACTTGGTAAACTTAGAAACCAGTTCAAGTTTTAAAATTGGCCTGATGTGGTTTTAAAGTCAGACCACAAGGCCTCTAGGGGTAATGTGAAATAGCAACCAATGATAATTCTTGCTTTTTCAGCTTAGCACATGATGATGATGAAGACACAAACACACATTCACACATAAGCAAAAGTCAACAACATAAACTATGCAACACATACATACAAAATACTCCAACACAAACTGAAACAGTGATCTTACTTCCAGGGACTGCCTTGCACAAGGGATATCAGAGCACCAAAAACAAAATTGGTAACAGACTTGGGCAGGTACAGGAAAAACCTGCAAGCGTAGAGATCTGTAGGAACTCCAAGGACGTAGTTAGGGACTACCCAAGCTCCAGATCTGCTGCTGATGTAAACACTCGGACATCTGGAGAAAGGCAGTAAAAAAAATTTTTTTTTTTAAAAAAAAAAAAAACACAACAAAAATCAGGAACCATATATTTCATTGGGAGCCTCCATGGTGTAGTGGTTATGAACTTAACTCAGGCCCCAATGTTGTAGGTTCAAATCTGCACAGCATAGGATCCCCCCCCCCCCCCCCCCCCCCCCAAAAAAAAAAGACAGTGGCTCCCAGTTTGACCCAGCCTAAAATTGACACAGTAAAGTCTTTGGAAACCAGGTAAAGTCTTGGTAAGTAAAGGCGGCCAAAGTGATGCTGACCATATCAACTACCATGTGCTAATTGGTTTATAAATTATAGGTCTAGCACTTTCTGCCTAATATGCCTAATGGCATGGACAAGGGTCCCTTTACTTATATACTTCATCCTGATCTCTTCACCAGATTTTATAGCTGGTGAACACAAAGAAAAAAAGAGCACTTGATTGTGGTGCTTTTGCTTCTTCTTGTGCTCTTTATTTCCTAAAGGACCACACTGTCCTTCCTTAACCACCTCACATCAAGTCGTCCTACCCTTTGCTAGCGTGTGCAGCTCATGCTATGTTTTTTCCATCTTTCATTCTCTAGTTCCCCTCTCAAGGTGTTTTTGTCTGTCTATTTCTCTGACCTTGCAATTTCTAGTTAAAAGACTTTTTAGTTATACTGATGTCCACTTTTGAAACTTTTAAAACTTGAACGCATACAGAATGAAGCCATGCGGGTAACTCTAGGATGTACAAGAGATACCCCAATAGTATGTATGCGATATATACTTGCAGTGCCTACTTTTGCAGACAGGCTCAAAGTTTTGCAAGCAAAGGCATATCTCAGAGTAGCTGCAGACAAGAAGCAAATCCTGCATGAAGCCCTGGGTAGAGCTAAGGGTCACAAACTAAAAAGAGGAAGGTCTTGGATGGCGCAAGCAGAAGACACAGCTGGACATGTGTGCAGGCCTGATAATTTTGAGCGAGGAAAGGAGTGGGTCAAGGTGTCCGAGCAAGTTTCAGACCTGTGCAGGGTTCTTATCACTTTAGGTCGGGAGTGCAGGGACTAGCCAGCTCGTGCTGCAGAATCAGAAGTTCAGCAAATGATTCACTGCAATTTCCGCCCAAGTGATGTGATTATCAGAGGCACAGATAGATCATTACGTCTCAGTAGAATTGCGCTGCGAGGAGTTACCAGCGGTTCTGGCAGACACTCAACATTCAGGGGAAGGGCGAGATGGAGATATAATCAGAGTTACTGGTGACATCAGTACTGGAACTCTTCGCTTGCTGCTGAAGATGGGGATGGAGCGTTTATGGGAGTGTCCTGAGTGCTGTAATGTTGATTCTTAATTCAACATTTCGGTTTTCATAATGTGGGTTCCAAGGTCATATATAGGGAAAACAAGAATAGACCCACTGCCTACCCAAAAGCATGTGGTAAGAGTTGCCTAATTGGGAGCTTCCTTCAAATGAGTCAGATCTGTAAAACGAATGCACACGCAACACTCAGGTTCTGGAACAGGACTGCAGTCCAACAGTGGATGAACAACCAGAACTTTCCGCCAGAGTTTACAGCTGGTGAACACAAAGAAGAAGAAGACAATGTGGGTCCTTTCCAAAGCCAGCTTCTTTTTTTTCCAATTTTTGCTTCCCTTGAGTCTGTTTATATCTCTCTGAGTGCTCTACATTATTGATTCTCAATAATTCCCTATATAGTGTACAGGCACCAGTTAATGAATGAGTGTAGTCTAGCAGTTGTTCTCCATATTTCAACTCCATACAACAGCACTGGATTGATTTATGTAGTACTACTGTTGGTCTTCTTTCATCTGTACATAAAATACATTAACTTCTTGAGTTCCAGAAAGTTTTGCATATATTCCCAAGGGGCGCATTAACCACTATGAACAATCACATGTGTGTAACTTTTATTAGTCAAAATGCAGCGACTGGACGTAAACAAACAGGAAGCCAGATTTCACTGGCATTTTCTGACCAAATATGGACAGTGAAAGAACACAATATGTTACTGCTGGGATTCACTGAAAAGTGCTAAACACATGATGCGTTGCTTGGGACTCATAGAGTTGAAAAGAAAAATTAAGCTGCTCATTTATAAAGCTAAAAGTGTACTGAATATGTGGCACTAGACTCATATTTATATAGGTCAATCTTTTGATGGGCGATGTAGTCAATATCATGTCAGTCACCTTGACTTACCAGGACAGTTCCTGGTTTCTATTTTAGGCTAAAGTAACTTACAATGCAAGTTATAAAAAGACACACAAAAATAAGAAAGGTTTGTGGAGACTAGCAACTGCATGAAAAAAACACGGCCTCTCGCTAGCTTTCCCACCTCATGCACTTTCACATCCAAGGAGTCACTTATATCTTGTGCCATCTTTGTGTTTGTCGGCCCCTGCCCCTCCTTAGTGGAACCATGCCTACTGCTGCTATTTTTTCAGTACGCTGTGACACTTGATATGGCCAAAAGTTTTCAGCTTCGAAGACAAGATGCTGTTTATTAGCCAATCTTCCTTGATGTTCAGTTGTTTTATGAATGTCAGTATTTCTTTTCTTCTTTGTCCTTAGTATTCTGAAAATCTTTCTATAGCGTTTCAGCTCAAAAGTCACAGTTTTCTTCCTCAAGGACTGGTAGTCCATGACTCACACCCTTATGTTGCTACAAGGTAAATGCATGTTGTCAAAATTTTAACTTTGATTTTTTGACTGGTACTTAACCATAGAGACCCAACACACCCTCACACACTAATTAAAAACTATAGCTGCAAATATAATTCAGTCATGAATCTCTATAGAAATGTTGCGAGCGTTTGACTGAAACTAAGTCGGTATGATATTTTCCAAACATAGGAATCTCAGTGGCATAGTGACCATGCTGTTTTTCTTCTTCTCTGAAAGACAGGGTCTTTTTTCCAGGCAGAACTTTTTTTTCCAGACTCCTATGATCATTCACTAAGAGCTACAGTGTTTGTGGGATTCAGTCCCATGCACTGTATGATGCATAACAGACTTTTCCACATGAATGCCAGCCATCACGTATTGTGTTCACCCTCATTTTACTACTGGTAACAGCACACTAAGGAAAGCTGGCTTCCACACTGGTTACTTCCACTACACAATTACTTGCTACTTCCACTGCACAATTTGCTGTTTGAATGTTATGCATTTGTAACTTTTCATAATGGTAATTCATTCACTTGGGTAACTGGTGTGAGAACCTCCTGAAAGACTGAAAGAGTTAATCCCTTTTTATACCAAAACTACAAAAATAAACATGATAATCTCAAACTGACGTGTTACCTTCCAGCTGTGGCACAATCCACTGCAGCATCCACAGCTGAGTTACCAATGCCCACCACCAACACCCTCTTGCCAGTAAAGTCATTGTAGACAGCATCTTTGTAATCCACTGAGTGAATTATCTTGCCTGGAAACCACAGAAAATGATCTCAAAGAGGTATTTACATAAGAGCCTTCTTCTGGTTTTTTTCTTCTTCTGGTGGTACGCAAAGGTATGCAGTACCAGCATCTTTTTTGAGCACTACTTTAACTACATCGGCCATGCACTTAAAATGGATAAAACAAGACTTCCCTATCAAGCCCTCTTATAGACAAAGGAAGGGAAAACAGGGAAGACCAAGAGGGACCCTACATAGAACCATCGTCAGGGAAAGCTCAACCATGGGCCTAACAAGCATCCAAGACCTAAAACAGGTGGCAACAAACTATCAGACATGGAGAGCTATGACCTCTACCCTATGCGCCACCACTCTAGGCTCAAGCGGAAAGTGTAACTAACTATTTTCATTCTTTTAGTCCCAAGCAGTCCGTTCTCGTGAATCCCAAACCTTACGCATATTCTGTTACTTGTTGCATTTAGTCATGGTAAGTTGTGTATCCTTTACAGGACGTTGCAGAGCCAACCCCAACAGCTCCTAACATAGTGATACTAAAACTGTTCACTGCGGCGCCCCGGGGAGCCATGACCTCTTCACGGGGGCGCCGTGAAATACTTGAAGATGCACAAGTTTTTTTTTAATATTTCTCTTACATACGAATAGTCATACTTTTATTTAGGTAAGGGTGCCGTGGAAAAAAAAATTCTTTAAAAAAAAGCGCAGTGACTAAGAAGTTTGGGAAACACTGCCCAACACATCATTACTACATTACAGACTGCTGTAGTTTTTTTAGAGACATGCGTGTGTTTCAACTGTATTATCTCAGGACTTAATATCTGCAAGAAAATGGGCAAAACAAATCAAAGATTTTCTGTCATTCAAAGAGCTGGAATAGAACCAATAAATGGAGCATGATATACACATCATAAAATTTCTGCATAAGCAACAAGCACACAAATGTTAAAGATAAAAAATATCTACGATGGTCTAAGTGGGGGAGGGGGGGGGGCGAGGGTATGAAGACACATCCCATAAGTCAATTAAAAGAATACTACACCCGAAAGAAGAGTTAACAAGATGATATAAACAAAATCAATACTGTACCAGAAAAAAGTTCTTCTCCTTTGAATTTAGGCCAGTTTGGCTTAGCATGATGCCCAGTTGTGATGGCCAGATAACTGCAAGTGTAGACAACTGTGCCCTCTGCGCTGGTCTGCCCATCTTCTTTTACCTTGTTACAGATCACCTTCCATTTCTCCCCCTCTGTAAAATGACAAGATCAGATTAGATGATGAGTATCAATATTGTATCATTTTCTGCATTTCTTCTTCTTCTTCTTCTGTGTTTATCCTTGAAAGGGTGTTTAAGACTTTGTACTGTGATTTAGAGCTCATCCGCCTAAGTGATTCCTTGAGCATGCTTTAAAAAGATAGATTCAAAGAAAATGGTTGGAGTGGATTAGGAAATCTCGTCTGAAAGGAATTAGTTTCATTTTTGTGCAAGGACACTCTGGGATAAGAGGGAATGAACAAGCGGATTGGCTTGCTGGCAGGGCCATGGTAGGTACAGGAAAAGCAATGGACCGGGCCGAGAAGATGATTCAGCAGACGACATTGAATCTGTAACACTCAAAAGACTACAAAAACTTCGGGTCAAAAGAGGTGTCGCCTAATATAAACAGTATACAGGTAGTCAAAGAAGAATAGTAAACCAACATAAAACTGGTGTTATCAGTCACCACACAGAAGATGTGATCTGAGCACTCATGGACTTGTCTGATGTGCAATGAGGATAATCTTAACTATCTATGCCTTTTGGTTGAACACATCCTATTATTTCAGCAAATCCCTGAGTTGCCTTGTCCGAGTGTCCGGGAGGAAGGTGGGGGAGGGGGGTCTATTCTATTTCTCTAAGTAAAGGACCCTTTTCCACGCCTTTGGGCACATTAGGCACAAAGCGATAGACATCTATTTTTTTAGATCAATCAGCACTCAATCGGTGATGTGGTCAACATCACACTGAATGCCTTTACTTCTTAGGGCTTTACCTTGTACCACTATAGGTGGGGTCGACCTGTAAGCCAAGGTCATTTCTGAAAAGTCTGGCTACATCAGGATCTGAACCCACAACCTTAAGATCAGCAGGCAAGCGTCTAGCTGCTACACCACTGCAGCTCCCTTCTCCCCAAAATGGGCCTGGAATTTTCTATATGAACACAACCAGGTTCCTTGCACACATTTGTGACCCTCTACCTGTCTTCTTGTGCTGTTGTCCTCTGTCTCTTCTTTCCACATATCTTTCCAGTGGTCACAACATGTTCGTTTCACTCTTCTCATAATATGAACCAAAAAATTTATGACTGTCTCTTTCTGATGTTTGTGATAAGCTGTCTTTGAGCATTCACCTTTTTTTTTTTTAAACCTCTGGTTGATTTTCTCAGCTGTCCAAGGAATTCTAAGGGTTCTTCTGTGTACCAATATTTAGGATGTTACTGACTTTTAATTTCTCTTTAGTAGCTGAATGACCATCGGGTATCATCTGTAAAACATGTTGCTCCCTACTAGACAAGGTAAATCCATTACCTCGTTGTCTTAATACAACTGATTGAAAGGCATGATTTAATAAGGAAAATACAGCAGTGGTTTCCCCTTGACTTCTGCCAATTTTTTTCATGGTTTAACTCCAATAGCCTTTGTCTAGATGGACATACCCTGCAAGGCAGCAGGAAGAAAGGTTATACTGGCGCCTCTTACCCGCTGAGTTTTGGGGTATTTTATAGATCTCACTGTACCACCAGCTAGCTCACCTCCTCTCAATGACCACTACCTGTTTGGTCCACAGCCGCTAATTCAGCATATTTGTGGCTAACCTTTATATCTAGAGGCCGCTCCACCATTCGTCACCCAGTGAACACACCTAGTAGTTGATTAATAAATTGTTTTTAAATTTATTAGGATCTGTGTAAACTGGTCATTTTTTATAGGATTTTTTCCAGGAATTCCCACTGTTCATGATTTTAGCATTCGCAGGGCAAAAGAGGGCAAAATGATTGAGTAGAAAAAAATTTAAACCTATGAATTGCTAACTCTGTTAACTATTTCAGCACTATCTATCCTAAAGTTTCTGTACCTTAGAGCAATACATTTTTAGTTTACATGACTGGGTGTAAAAGAGTGATAGTTAACAATTGAGACAGAATAGGTTAATCTAACTGAATGGGACACTAAGAGTAAAGAAATGTGTACTTGATAAAGAGTAACCAATGAACCAGAACTAAACTACATTAAAAGACAATGCATCAGATGGTTTGGAGGTGTGTCAAGACTACCACCATATAGTGCACTACAGAGAGCCATGGAAGCAGAACCAGAGGTCGACCATGCAAGTTATGGATAGACGGACTATCCCCGGTTGTAAATACCAGCATCAATATAGCGCAAATTAAGGCTTGCACCCTATGCCTCTTGGAAACCTGGCGCTGAAGAGCAAAACAGGACTAGAGAAGATGAAGAACTAATGACTTTTGTATGGAGAGGCAACATGGAGAACAACTAAAGCAACTACTAATAAACTACAAAGATTCATTAACTGGTGCCTGCGCAGAATAGGGGGAATTAAATGGTGTGAAAGAATCACTAATGTACAGCTTTGGGAGAGAACTAAACAAGTTTCAGTGGACCAAGAGGTAAAGAAAAGATGCTGGTGTTGGATAGGACACAACATGAGAAAACCTGAGAACAATATAACTAGAATGTCTTCTGGAACCCACAAAGGCATAGAAATAGAGGGAGATATTAAAAAAAAACACAGGGAGAAGGGAGCTAGAGAGTGAAGTTAAAAAGATGGGAGGACATGGAAAGAGCTGCATGCCACAGCGAAGGGTAGAACGACCTGGCGTTAGGGGTTAGAAAGGTAGAAGAAGAGGAAGGATATCAAATTACATTCACAGCTGTCAGCGATGATAGAAACTCACAGATGTTACAAAATGTAAATGCAATAGTTTTTACATTAAATCATATAACTATGTTACACTTAGTTTGTGTTATGAAATGAGAACATCTGTGCCAGATGTTAGCTGGATACAATGCTAGCCAGTCATGACCAGGCAGCCATTTAGAAAGTGTGACTCAAAGAGGCAATGATCAAAGCTATGTTATACTGTAGAGTTAACATATTTTCTTTAGTCAGTAGATGAAGATGGTGTCATGAGTCAACTTTACCACACACTGTGAGAGAAAGACAAACAACGACTAGACAGACTCATAACAGCAGACAGGTCAATTACTGGTCAGACGGGTTGTGTGTAGACCCGCACGGCGATACAGGTAACTGAGTGGGAAGGTTACAAGAGGACTTGACAAACAGGTAGAGTGACACACGGCAGTTAGTAGTTTGACAGTCCAGTGAACGGATGTGTTTGTCTGGTGCCCTTTTAAATGTGGGAATTGTTTTTTGCTTGGGATGGACTGGATTTAAAACTGTGGAGAGGACAGTAGTGGTTATTCATACTTGTGACAGGTGTTTCTGTTGTGTAGCCGGATTATAAAGTTAAGTGGGGTAGCCAGGATGATACGTAATTATTGCTATAGAGGCATCCGTTAGCCTCTCAAGACTTTGTTCATATGGCTAGGATGATTTGTGATCAGCTATACTAGTGTACTGCTGATGTATTTAGCCAGTGACTACCTGGGATTAGTGTGCTTGTGAGCCATAAGAATAAAATCAGTAGCTACTCAGCAGTCAATAACGTTGTGAGTACTTAAATAAACATTCTTTGAGAACTGGAACAAGGTCATCAGCGTTTACATGTTCATGAAAGTGTGGGTACACCTGGCACAAATAACAACGGTACCTGTGTCACACCTACAAAAGGTGTCTGACAGATGCCTATATAACCACAGTTAGATAAGTCAGCTTGTAGTTTTTACAGAAATATTCCCACTTCACGGCTCATAAACATAACATTTACATTCATGCAGAGCTTTTAGAAAAAAAAGGAGTGGCTCACCACAAAGTTTTTTAAAGAAAAAAGATGCAGGTATTTATTGCAGTAGCACTGACAAATGTATGCCTAAAAAAGGTGTCAGTACCATGAACTGTTGTGTACCGACAGAAAAAAAAAAGCATGCATTTATGAACTATGAATGTACAGACAGCTACATCAAGTTATCTCACAGACCATTCTCATGGCTTTTGGACAATATCACTTGGCCGCACCTTGGATGAGACATTGAGGATTTACCAAAATATTTCTAAAGACAACAGTGGATTCACATATCCATTGCAGTCAACCTCCATTGTGGAGACAACATACATTTTTTTTAAAAACTCATTCATATCATAAAGTGTCTATTCTATATCAAATGAAAACTATTTTAGGAGGCAAAAATAATCCCAAAGCAAATACAGTCTTATGAGGCAAAAATGCAAGTAATAAGATATTTATTAACTCTTTCAGTCCCAAGAAATGCAGGAGGTGTCATTTGCTCTTCCTCGAAAACTAAAACCATTGCTTTATGCTTCTTGGACATATGATAAGAAATAAACTTGAAACCTTAGTGACAGCTGGTAAACTTACTAGGGAAAACAAGATCAAAGGAAAAATGAAGACATACCTGGATGACTTGACAAGAATTAAAGACCTGATCTGCGATTCTGAGGATCATGTGAAATGGCGAGCCATGACTACCTTATGCTTATCTGTGTGGAACATGATGATAATGAGTAATTTCTATCTTCATAGGAATGCAAAAGACAAATAGTTAATTCAATTTTTATTCTAACTAAGATTACTTCAGTTCTAACATATGCCAGGGAGAGATGGAGAATCATCAAGACATGGAACAAAAGTTAAATGTCTGAGGAAAATGAACATAAAATGTGATGAATTCAAGAGCAAAGAAATAAAAGAAACGTCTGGGCAACTACTAGTATCAACAGTTATAAGACAGAGAAGATGGCTGGGCAACCACTAGTATCAACAGTTATAAGACAGAGAAGATAGCTGGGCAACCACTAGTATCAACAGTTATAAGACAGAGAAGATAGCTGGGCAACCACTAGTATCAACAGTTATAAGACAGAGAAGATGGCTGGGCAACCACTAGTATCAACAGTTATAAGACAGAGAAGATGGCTGGGCAACCACTAGTATCAACAGTTATAAGACAGAGAAGATAGCTGGGCAACCACTAGTATCAACATTTATAAGACAAAGAAGATAGCTGGGCAACCACTAGTACCAACAGTTAAAAGACAGAGAAGATGGCTGGGCAACCACTAGTCTCAACAGTTATAAGACAGAGAAGATGGCGCTGTACTGGACACATTGTGAGCAGAGACGACCAGAGGATCACCAAACAGGCACTAAAATGGGAAACAGTAGTGACTGGGGAAATAAGGACTTCCAAGAAAAATCCAAAGGCTAATGTTGTTGAGAGAAGCTAAAGGTGCTGCCTGTCATGATACTGAAGTGACTGAACAGCAAACAATGTCATGGGAAAACAGACTGTCAGCCCTATATGCTATATAATGACACAACAGGACAATGGCTGAATGAATAAAACTGATGCAGATGATGAAAACTTACCTTGTTCAATGCCGACTACCCTCAGGTTAAAATGAACTAGCTCATTCAGTGCAAAATGACTGGCATAGTCTTTGATATACTTGGCCATATCTGAGTGGTGGGGGTAATCAGGAACAGACTCAGGAAAGGGGAAATCGGAGAAGGCATAGTTGTACTTGCTGACATTTCTGTAACATAAAACAACAGACTATGTACTGATTATGTGTATCATAATTTTTCCCCTTCAATAATTATATTACACTTAAATACTTTGGATCTAAAACATGGCATTAGAACAGAAAATAATGACCTGTGAAATGCACTATCTCCATTAGGTCACTAACAACAGAATAAGAGACTGGGTTATGAATACCTGCATTACAGCTCGCTCTTCAGGCAGAACAGTTCAGGAAGCTAGTGGTGCCTTCTCCATGAACACAAGCAGCATGACGATGGAGGTGATGGTGGTAACACAGGCTTTCATGTGCCTGGGATCACAGGATTATTCCTGCGTGTGTGTGTGCTTAGTGATTCTTTGAGCATGATCTGGCGGGTTGAGGCAGGCTGGTTACGCAGACAGTGGCTTGAGTCGTTGCAAAATGTTCCTGTGTGTGCATTCGTCCCAGGTATGCAGGTGTTGGTAATGAGAGAGCTGATAAGACTGGCAGGTGCTGCATTAATGGCCCATGGATCACGCAGACTTTGTCATTGCCTTTAGAAAGATAGGACATTCTGAGGATTTTGGAAGCAACATGTCCACATCACTGCTAAGAATACGTGAATTGGGAGTAAAGATCGGCACAGCCAAGCATGAGAATCCCACCGAACACACATGAAGTCTTGTTAACCAACATAAAACTGGTACTATTAACTGCACGACGCTGATGAATATGTTAAGAGGGGAATCTGAGCGCCTATGGATGTGTCTGGAGTGCTGTTAAGATAATATAACTCCTACCTGCATTAGAGAGAATATAGGAATAAGACCATGTCTGAATTATACTGACAGACAAAAAATGAACTAGTTCGGCCATTTAGTGAGAAATTAGCCAGACCAAACTGCATATAAGACTTTTTTCAACAGACCAAGAAAGAGAAGCATAAATGGTGTAGCTGAAACCTGCAAAAAGATGAACAAATTCATCACCCAAGCCACATGAGAAGCGCAAGACAAATACAGAAATCCTTGACACTGGGCTTCATCCTGGTATCAGTGAGATGACAAAAGAAACATTCTGGTCATATTAAATGTCATCAGGGGTTTAAGAGAACCACTATAGAGGGCTTGGTTCCTTGAAGAGAGGGAGTTGATTCAAATCCTGATCAAGATTATTTTAATTGATCTCGGTTTCTAGAGTGACCTAGGCTAAAACAGGAAATGTACTGGGTAGTAAAGGGGGCCAACATAATACTGACCACATCACCCATCGAGTGCCTAATTTGTGGTTTCAGCAAGAGGGGCCAAAACCCACTCCATCAGAGCATCAATGGCTGTTCTTCGCCTCCCGCTTCCCCATCATATCATGTCAAGATTTGGTGATGTTTTATGGCCTCCATATGTGATTTCTTTCAATGAGGATATCTCAAGCCACCTGTCTACAAGGGCAAACCTTATACCTTTGATGAATTCAAAGAAACCACTCAAATCTCAACAGCGGCCTGCTTTGAAAGAATGGAGGCCATTTTCTTCAACAATGCATCAATGATAACAGACATCACATGACAGATGTAACTGTTCATTTATGATTATTATAAAATGCTATGTTCCTACATGGTTAAAGGTTAAAGTCAAGAGGATCAACTTCACTGCATCAGATTTTATCAAATGGATGGCTCTGTCTCTCTCCACAGAATGGCAAGCTGAGAACGCAGCACAGAGCATGAACTCCATAGCTTAAGCCACGATCCCGAGGGATCTCCATAAAAATTACACTTGTGAACTGAAAGGCACAGGCATGGAACAAACCCATGACCTTCAAAGAATGAGGCAAAAGGCCTGACCACTTCGCCATGGAAAGCCCGTATTCCTATATGTTACTCTACCAATAATTTTATAGCAAAAACTGAAGATTTTATGATAATTTCACAAACACTTGATTCCTGTGGCCCACCCTGTATGCAATATGTCAAAAACAGAAACACAAACTTACATGTGAGTGAAGCTCATCACCCCATAATCGTTCTCTCTGAAAGTCCACAGACCTCCAATATCTGAAGATCTTTCTATGATAGTCACAGCAAAATTGTCTTCTTTGAGAGTTTTTGCTGTAACCAGACCAGAAATTCCCGCTCCAATAACAATAGCATCTTTCTGGTTTGTTGCCATGCCTATGGAAATCTTCTCTACCTTGAACAGATAAAAGCTTTATCAAATAATATTCAATATTTCATGAAATCCCAGCAATGGAATTTTTTTTACATAAGAATGATTTTAAAAAAAAACTGTTGCAGTCCCCCCCCCCCCCCCCCCCCCCCCCCCAAAAAAAGACCAGCTCAAATCTTTGCAAGTAGCTAAGATGCAAAAATAATGATTAAAAGAAAACTAAAATTTTATAGTCACAATATTAAAAATTTAAGAGGTGATTAAAACCAATGCACACACAAAAAATTTTTAAAAAAAATATAATTTTAAATCTTTTTTTATACTATAAGCTTTTATTACTTATTTTGCATACACCAATGTACTAAAAAGATATAAAATAATTGGCTATCCTCCGAATAACGGTCCAAAATTAATGAGGCGGAAAATATACCCTAACACGGACTCAGTCATGTGTCAATTGCGCACTTCCAGGGACTATAACGCTACTGCCGAATTGCGAACCTCCGGCGACTGCCGCCACCGCCAAGAGTATCCCCCACGTCGCTCACGCAGCGCGGTTTGGGGCTAAACTAGATGGCTAGGACTCAAGAGCAAGTAAAATGAAGGAAGCTGCAGCTCGTGAGTCCCAGCCATCTAGTTTAGCCCCAATCCACGCCGCTCAAGCAGCGTGGGGAATACTCTTGGCGGTTGCGGAAGTCGCCGAAAGTGCGCAATTTAAGATGACGGAAGTGCGCAATTGACATGTGACTGAGGCCCTGTTAGGGTATATTTTCCGCCTCGATAATTAAGGACCGTTAATCGGAGGATAGCCAAATAATTTAGATATGGTATACTGGACTTAATATATTCACAATGAGGAGCTTTATAAAATTTTTTTGCAAGTATATTTTAACATCTTATTTAATGGGTACCCAAGTTTTACTAATTATCTTTACAAGTAGTCATCTATAATTGTATACCATGACTAAGAGAAGAGTCGGGCACCCACATATATGTATATATAATAATTAAATAATATTTCTAAAGATAGTGACGTGTGACAAGTTGAGTTAAGTAATATTAATTGTTATTTAGGTTCCCCACGCTTTTATTAGTCATGGTAAAGGCACACACATAAAAAAATAAGGTAAACTGTACTGTGAGTTACACACACTAAAATTGGGAAGAGGACAACGAGCAATAAACACCTGATGACACAAAGTGCTACCATTTGGATGAGAACCCCACAAACCCCATTTAACCATTATGTTTTATTAGGGGCCCCAACAACTGCCAGAGTGGGGCTTTGAAATAATGAAACACTGCATCCCATACTGGTACACCTGATTGTTTATGTTGGCCTCTTGAATTTTTAAAAGAAAATCATGAAACAGACATAGTACTTTCTGAAAGCTTGGCAAAATACAATACGCTGTCATTAAAAGGGCATATCTATTAAAAAAACTATGCTCAATTCTTATAAAAAGATATGTATGCCTCAGGAGAATTTTATTAACAAGAATTAAGAGATTATTTTTCTTGTGAAAAGATTATTTCCCTTCAAAATTATATTTTATTCGCTCGCTTTATAAAATATTTGACATCGAAAATGACCACCAGGAAGCAAAAACTGTCAATATTTTTTCTACACATTGCATTGTCATCCACAAAGCATGTGTGTGCAAAATGTCATCATTATAGCTTAACGAGAAATAATATAACAATCAAACACAAACTTCCACCTAGACAAACTAACAAACAATTTTAGAAATAATAAAATCTTATGAAAATGAGGGAAAATAAAGTCTGAAAATTGATGAAATATTAAAACTGATAAATACAGCAAAGTCATCAAGATTAAGAACACCGAATACAAACTGTTTGTTGCTAGAGAGAAGATTTTAAATGGTAATAAAGAAACAGTAGGGTTACCTTCCTATGTCAACTGACAGATAACACAATCTAATACTGTATGCAAGCACAAGCACTTGGTGAAACGACTAAGTTACTGTTATCAGATAAGTAAAATAACTGACAGTTTTTAATACACACCTAGCGTAATGGATACAGCAAACATTCTTGTCTATCTATGAATGAATGCTAGCTGAAGGAAACAATTTCAGATGAAACAAATATATTTAAGGTTACCTGACCGCAGAGTAAAGCTGGGTCTGGCACATATTTGCTTATAGTAATCACAGGCTTATTATTTAAATATGAAGAAAACACTGTTTCCCATACAGGTTCTACGGTGCCACTTTAGGGTACAAATGAATAGCCCCCCCCCCCCCCCCCCCCCCCCCCCCCCCGAATGTCGTAAAAGTCAATTTTTTAGGACTATTTCCATCAAAGCCAGAGTACACCTGTCTAAGAGGAATGACCCAATAGTCTGCATACGAATAAGCCAGATATGTAAAATAGATGTGGATGCAAAACTCCAGTTCTGGAACAAGATCAATATCCAGAATTAAACGAACAACCTGAACTTTCTATGAGCGTTCAGAAAAAGAAAACGCTGGATCAATAGCTGAAGTGATTAACAACTAGAACAGAATGACCATCTGCCTGTTCAGTTTAGTTTGTTACAATACATTTAAAACAAAACATGCTTCAGAGGTTGCCAGATGAGCAGTTCTGAGGCCCCATTTGGGAGTTGGGGGGGGGGGGGGGTGTGTGTGTGTGGAACAGATCTTAGCAAGTATAACCACATTTTTTTTTAATCTGGGTTCCCAGATTGACCCATGCTAAAACAGGAAATGTACTGGGTAGTAAAGGAGGCCAACAAAATACTGTCCAGATCAACCATCAAGTGTCAAATTTGTTGTTTTAGCAAGAGGAGCCACAGCACACTCCACTAGAATGTCAATGACTGTTCTTCATCTCCTGCTTCCTCATCATATCATTTCAAGACCTGTCCATACGTGATTTCTCTTTATGGGGATACCTCAAGTCAGGTGTCTACAAGGGCAAGCCTCGTATGTTTGATGAATTGAAGAAAGCCACTGTAAAGAAACACTCAAAGCTCAAAACAGGGGCCAGATGAGCAGAGCAGTGCTCTGCTTGTGAGAGCTTTCCTCCTCAACAAGCTGCCAACCAAAGCTAATAGGGTTACTTTTTCATATGAATTCTGAGTCCCCATTTGGGTGTGGAAGTGAAACAGACCTATCGTTCCTTAACAAAATTGGTGAAAATATGGGGGTGACTGCAGTCTAATTTCTCTGGAATTCCATTCTTTAACAAGCATATAAAAAAAAAAAGATGACAAATGTAATGTATGCTGAAACTGGCTGTGTTTGGCTGAAATGTGCAGATATGGAAACAATGTGATAACCGCCGTTTTATGGGAGGATGCAGAAGAAGAAGAGAGAATAAAGAATAAATAGAAGAAGAGAAGATGGAAAAGGGAAGAAAAAGAAAAAGGTTTTGTGTGTGTGCGTGTGTATGGGGGTGAGTGATACCACAGAATCATTAAATTTGTTAAGTGAATCCAGGGGGTCCAGGTGTGAAATACTCAACGATAGTTATGGAAATGTGAGCACAGCTGCTAATGACAACAGGTGTCTATTAAATTCACCGCTTGGTTTTTAATTGAATGAATTACCATCACAGCCCTATAGGCAAACTTACAGATTACTCTCTTCCTCAGAAGATACCATGGAAGGTATATGCAGATGCTTATTGTTCCTCCACCCCTCTTTTTAAACATACATATGTGTGCTAGGAAATTCTAGCTCACCAAACATGAAACTGCACTGTGTGAAAGATGGGTGTTTGAAAGGACCGAATGTAAGATGGACCTGCGTGCCCAATTTGCGACCCTTTAAAAATGGGTGTTTGAAAGGGTCGAATGTAAGACGGACCTGCGTGCCCAATTTGTGACCCTTTGAAAATAAAGTTTGTTTGTTCACTCTCTCTCTCTCACTTCCCCCCCCCCCCCCTCTCTTTCTCTATCTCTAGGTGTTGGGTCACACCAGACCTGTCACGCTATGGACTAAACCCTGACTTCTATCTTGGCAGGCAAGTGTACTTACTACTTTGCCACAGTGCCTGGAAGTCTTCTGATTAGAATTGTGATGTTTATTAGCCTTTGTTCCTTATTTTGTAGTTTTTTTTTTTTTTAATGAAGGGCTTTGTTTTTCACTTGCATGTATACAATAACTTCAAAAATCTCTGTATAATATGTAATGAATAAAATTATTATACTGCATTCAAGCTAAATGCCATTCAATAGGAAGCTGGCACTTTTAAGGGTGGTTTAACTGGTTCTCATTCAAGTTTTGCATTTCTAACTTATTAACTCTTTTTCACTAAAGGAATAATAAATAGAACCTTTTAACGACACAATGTTAGTCAATCAATCAATCCTAATTGCGCCCAGGCACATAAGGCAGAGACAAAGTGTTGCCACTCAATTCGATCCTGAGCCATCCTTTCCATCTCCAGTTTTGTCATTCATATATCCTTGAGTTCAGCCTCTAAGGTTCGTCTCCAAGTGCCTCGGGCCTACCTCTTCCTCGCTGTCTTTGTGGTGTCCATAGCACTGCCTGTCTTGGCCGTCTCTCGACGTGTCCAATCCACCTCCATCTTCGTTTTGACTTCTAAATTCACATCTTCTAAGTCTGTCCTTTGCAGGAATCTAGAATTGCTTATTTTATCTTCCCATGTGAATCCCAACAATTTTCTGAGAAGCTCTTCCCTCAAAACCTCTGAGTATGCTCTCTTTCTGTCTATTTTCCAAGTTTCTGATCCATAGAGGAGAACTGTCATAACGCATGTTTGTATATCCACAGTTTAGTTTTAGTCCTATAGATGTTTGATCTCCAGACACTCTGAAGTCTGTTGTAAGCAGTATTTGCGTTTGCAATTCTCTGCTTGATTTCAACCACCGCATTTCCATCCGAGGAGATATTGCTTTCCAGGTTAGTGAAGTCAGTTACTGTTTCTAAGCCTACAATATTTATCACTACAGGTCTTTCACTTTTGGGATTTATCTCTAGCAGTTTTATTTCACTGACACTGATTAT